TAAAACTAGTTGTGAAAATTTATTTTTGCATGATAAAACTATAAACTGTGTTGTAAACTCAATGCCATACTAACAAATCAAAAATAACCACCTCCATATTTAAACATCATATCCTTATAAAGAATGAGTACATTTTCTGGTTTATCTTTCAGAAGACCTTTAAAATTTATAATACAATCTGTAGTGTTGCTTGTACAACTGCAACAGTTCACTCTAGTATAAAATCAAACAATCTGAGGATAACTCACTCAAACTCTCAATCAGAATAAGGGTTTTATTTGAGAAATATCAAACGGCGCACATGTCTATGTCCTCTGAATAAACACACTGGGAGTTGAAAAACACGAGAGAATCAGAGAAAAGCAAGCTTAGAAACACAAGCCTACTCAAGTSCTTTTCAACTCCCACCATGTTTATATCAGAGGACAGAGACACAAGCAGTTGTTTGTTTTTTATTGTTCTTTTATAAAATTTTTCTATGTTTTCCGAGCGAAAAAAAACAAATTTTGCCGGTTTAAGCCTTGTCTCTGTCCTCTGATATAAACACGGTCCTAAGCCAATCAGAGTCCGTGTTATATATCAAAAATTTTATGAAATAAAATGGTTTAACCCTTTCACAACCACTTCCTTTTTCCCCTTTCTTTTCTTTTCCTTCTTTTCAGACTTTTGATTTCTTTAATTGTTTGCCAGCTAAAGGGAACACAAGTGGTTCAAAGTTGTTGTTTTTTTGTATTTTAGTTATATTAATTCTTATTTTTTTKAATATTATCCAACTAACCTATTCGCTCCTCTTTATTGGATAAGCTTGAAAGCTGCTCACGGAGTAATTGTCGATTGTCTAATAAGATTACATTTTCTTCCTTGAGTTCCTGAGAAACCAAATATAAATACTTTAACCTTAATTCCATAAACTACATTTGAGATAAAAAAAATTGATTGGCTGATAATTGCGTTACATTATTATTGCACGTGTATGCCAGAGATTACAGACCCAATAGGCAATAGTGTATTACGGCRTCATAAAAAACTACCAGAGAATGGTTTGCCCACATTCTTTTGCAATGCAATTAGTCCTTATTGTTTTACCAAATATCCAAAGAGATAGTCCTTATTGTTTTACCAAATATCCAAAGAGATTAAAAATATGAATTGAAATTCCAATGAAAATTTGCAAGGCTTTCTGGTAGATGTAGTAAAGTTATGCCATCATTTAAATGACATATTGCTGACCAAGTAGTCATTTTCCAGCATAGAATAATTGTAAACATTCAACTCTAACAAACATACCTCTGCTCTTTTCTTTAAATATTCCAAATCCCTCAACTTTTCTTTAAATTTAACAGCATCTGTTTCTAGTTTCTCCACTCTATCAGCCTAGATGAACACAAAATGATATGACAAATTTACGACAAGAAGAAT